GCATTTAAAGAATGCATGTTCCCTTACGTTAACAGCATTCAGTGCTTAACCCTGTTATAGCAACTCCCATTTTTGGCGGACTGGGTCAAAATGTTCTACCTAGTTCTGTACACAATAGCATGTGACTGGTGAAACCGGACAATGAAAGGATGTATTGTAGACAGAGAAAAGTGGGAAGGGTCACAAATCTCACTTTGCTGAAAGTCCTTCAGTTTTTTGGGTTGCTTTAGCTGCCATTCTTCACATTCAGTCGTCGTCGTGAGAGTAAGGAGAAGCAGCAAGTGCTTCCCATGCCCCTGCAAGGTGGTCATTTCTGCTAGTAACCAAGTCCTCGAAGGTGATGATGAGAGACTGGGCACTCGCCAACTTCCCCCACTCTGGCAGAGTAACAAAGTCCCAGGCTTACTGCTTTCCCCCTGCAGGAGCTCGGTACGCTGACAGACTACCGCAGAGGACTGTCCAAAGTGGTGATAGGATGACGCAACCGTTGCGTGAACACAGTGGTTGAAGCTGAAATCCAGCAGATTTTGCTGTCTTTTGTGTTGGATAGGCTTTTTTGTTGTTGTTGTCTGTTGGCAGACTGCAGAAATCTGTCTCTTGTATTACAAGCAATGCTGTCGCTGAGAAGAGGGGGTGACAGTTCTTTTGACGCGTCTCCAGCTGCCCAGTTTGTGAGCAGACTTTCCAATTAGACAGGTGCTGTAAAAACAAAACAACTTTTTTTTTAGAAAATAATAGAAAAAAATCTCCCAGAATTATATCCTAGGGTTGTTTTTCCTACATAACCAGTGGAACAAACTGCAAAGCTACGAAAAAGATCTATTTATGCTGCTCAGAGAGAATCGACTGGGTGAAGCCCTGCCTCTGCCTGAATGCCTGAGACGCTGGGGACCCTCTGCCCTTGTGCCACAGACTGAGAGTGTGCCTCTGTACAAACGCAAGAAGTCCTCTCCCGCTAACACCCCCCCTCCCTTGTGAAAGGACGCCAGTGTCACCTTTAGTTTGTTTTCAGCTACTTTGGCAAACAGGATGCACAAAACCTATCTGTGGTCAAGGGAAACCAGCTTCCTGAGGCTCCTCTGCAGTAGAAGGATGCCTCCATGGAGCAATTCGGAATTGCTCCAGCTCTGACCACCTCCGCAGAAGACCATCCTGCTCTGTTGACTGTAACAGGTGCCTGGAGACACCAACCCTGCTGGGATGAATCCTAGAATCACAGAATGGTTTGCGTTGGAAGGGACCTTAACGACCATCTAGTTCCAACCCCCCTGCCATGGGCAGGGACACCTTCCACTAGACGAGGTTGCTCAAAGCCTCATCCAGCCTGGCCTTGAACACTTCTAGGGATGGGGCATCCACAGCTTCTCTGAGCAACCTGTTCCAGTACTTCATCACCTTCTCCATGAGGAATTTCTTCCGGATATCTAAATCTCCCTGCTGAAGTTACTCTTCTTCACAACCTGCCTTCCTCGCAGTTTCCAAAACTTTCTTCTCTGTTACAGCTAGTCTCAGTAGGCTCTTTTTGTTTTGCAGTATTCAGGATTCCTACCTTCTTCATAAAATGAAACCCGTAGAAGTAGAAATGTTATTTATCTCAAGACTGAAAAGCAAAATGCCATGGCAGAGTGTCCCTGTGGGCATACCTCCACAGTGCTTTATTCCCTATCTACCACATACAACTTGCTTGAAAATCTCAAATGATCATTGAGACATTATCTCAAACTATCACTGCAACATTAATTTCTTCATGAGCTCATCTTTTGTACCAGGACAGTATCAGCTATTTCTGCATATTTTCTGACAGATAGTAGTTTCTTCTTTCATTAATAAAAATCTGAACAGCAACAAGTGTGGACTGAAGGAGACTTGACAGCCTGTACCAACTCTTTACCTTGGTGCTCAACTACCATTACCCTCAGATGTTATGAAAAAATGCCTTTCTATCTTAAATCTCCTTTGTTTAAGCCTGTTGTGCCTTAAGTGCTGTGTCTGCTGGGTTAGGACAATAAATAACTTCTCCCATCCTCTTTAAAGACACTCTGAAGAGGGTTGTTATTGTGTCCTTAATCAGCCTTGCCTTCTCCAGCCTAAACAAACATAACCAATCTTTCATCAGAGATCACATTCCCTAGATCATTCTCATTACTCTGGTATCGGTCCAAGTTGCCCTCAAATTGGGATACCCAAGAGATATTATCTTCCATGCCTTACATGGCTCTCTTGGCAGAAAACAGCCCTCAGAGGTGGGACAGTTTCCGATTGCTGTGAAAGCTGCTTTACCACCTTCTCTTCCACAAATAGCACAGAGAAATGCCAAGGAAAAGAGAGCATCTGGAAGGCAACTGTCTTTTGTTTTGTGGTTAATGAACAAATCATGCTACAGCAGCCTTCAATATAAGATAAATATTTACTTCTATTTATGTCACAGAGGTTATAGGCTAAATCTGGGGAATTAATCAAGTAGGCCCTGGTACAAGTAAGCCTGGAGAAGAAAAGTTGAATTTAAATTAACTGCTTGTGTTATGTTGATGCAGCTCACAGGAATGGAAGGATAAAATGTCTCTTTACATAAAGGAAAAAATCCATCCTCCTTTCTATGTTATGCTCTACAGGAATCAGTGTAAAGCCTGTTGAAGTTCAGCAAACACTGAAGTCATGGCTCAGGCTGGGGTTGCGTGATGCATCTGGAAAACAACTGACTGTTAACCCAGTTTGCAAGACCACCAATGAAGTTCTAGAAAAAGTATTCTAATTTAAGGGTCATTTTGCTTCTGCTCGATATTATGAATTTGGTATGTTCACAGCATCTGCTAGGGCAAACCATGCTTTTGCTATTACAGTTTTGGTGGAGCTACAGTATTTTCTGCCTGTTCTGCAGAGACAACCAGGCAACAGTCACTGGCTTCAGCAGAAGCTACCAAACAAGATATAAAAGAAGCAGATGTTTCAACCTATATTACTCTTGCAAGTCCCCTGTGCTGTTTGGGTTTTTAAGTGTCTCAGATTTTCCCCTTTTTTTATTTTTCCCCACTATAAATGATAAATCAGTTTGTAAACCCGCTAGATGGTAATACTGCATTCTTGCTTATTAAAAATATGAATATATTGAAGGTCTAAAGTGGGTTGATTTTGTGTGTGTTGGGTTGGGTTTTTTTTTGTGGGGTGGTGGTGGTGTGGTTTTATTTTTCTTCTAGGAAAGGGGAGAGTACTTAGTACTTTTTAAATTAGGCATGTATGCGCTCAGAATCATAGACATGAGGCATATCATGTTCCTGTATCCCAGCTAAAGACCTTCTTGGAAATGGTGCCTAAAAAGGCAGGAAACAACCATTTGTTTCCTGACATGATACAAAGTAGTAAATGGCCAGCCTTGTCCTGACTTCAAAAATCATAATTTAAAACAGATTTTCCAGGTTTGGCTCTGCCTGGCTTATAGCATAATCCACCCATCTTGATGGCAACAGGAGCTGTAGAACAGGAGGGAGCGCCTTCAGCCTGTATGCTTTGTGTCCCCTGTTGATTTGTCGCCTCCTTTGGCCTGAACTGTGGAAGGAATTTCTGGGAACCAAGACTCTCTCTCAGGCTGCCCTTGGCAATGCTTACAGAGCTCAAGGGATGAGAGAAGTAGGACTACCGCTTTACAGGCTTGAGTTTGTGACATCCAGCAAGTCTAATCCAAAGGCTTCGTGCTGAACTTGAGTACTAGAGCTACGAAGTTAGAAGTCACTCTAGAGATAAACACAGTAACATGTTTTTAATACTTACGATTGAGTCCTCCTGTGTCTTCATTTGTTTGGACATCTGTTGAAACAAATGCACTGTTTAAGCATGTAGGATGGATGACTATAGTCTTTATCCGCAGGGAATTAATATTAAGCAACATCCACCAAAGTTGAAGGTTCAATGTGCTAAATGCTCTTTGGACAGAAAAATGCGGTCCTTACTCTATCTGCTTACAATCTAGGCCACCACTTCAGCAATGATAAATTTTTAGGCTTGAAGCAACAGCCCTGCTCCATATTTTGCGACTATCCTGCACAACTCTCAGGTTGTTTCTGAAGGAAGGACATAGCTCCTAGCACAGCTGCTGTGGATGCTGGGCAAGACCATTACCCTGCTTTCTCCTGCTCTTTTCTGAAGCACCTGGGCTTGCTAGCCACGAGGAAGAGGGCATGGATTGAACATAGAATCATAGAATGGTTTGGGTTGGAAGGGACCTTAAAGATCATCTAGTTCCAACCCCCCTGCCATAGGCAGGGACACCTCCCACTAGACCAACATGTGGCTTCTCCTTATCCATGAGACGTGTGGTTGCCTCTCCTCCCTTTTCTTAGATGTTAGCTCTTGTATACCTGTGAAGTGGCTTACAGAAGTGCTCAGAGATACATCAGCAGACTGAGTCTGGTTTACAAGACATCTTCTAGAGCTAGCTTTTGTCCAAGCACTGAAGAGTCCTGCACGTGGGCAAGTGCGGCACTACAAGGGTGCGCATGCATAACGTGGCGTGACGGCGAGATGTGCTTCATTTCTAACTTGTAGAAAGCTGATCGATCTCAGTGGGATCTTGAACCCTTAATTGTACAGTCACTCTAAAGCTCTCAGGACTGATTTATCCCTGGATTTCTGCTTTGGATTGTGCTAAACTTAGCAAGGTACTGACCCCCAGCCCTGTTCCATGGAGGAGCAACCCCTCCAGAAATAGCCTGCAGGGATTGCAGCTGAGAAACTATGGTCTGAACCAGTACAAAGTCTGAGTTACTCTCACATCCAGAAGTTAAATCCCGTGAGGCTCAGGTGCCCTAGCAGAAAAACAAAGAATAATGTACCCTGGGGCACTGCATATCCTCCCCAGGACACCCAAGTTTTTTGATAACAGCTTTTTTTTTTCCATGCAGGAAGCTTACAAGTACCTTCTAGCAATGTGCTGGATGACATTAAATATTTTGGTAAATGAAAAAGAATTCTTCACATTTGTTCATACAAATGAAGAGCCTCATTACCTGTGTAGGACACTAGTTTAGAGGATCTCCGTCTCCACAGCCAGCAGGTTAAAACAGCTAGAAGACCTAGCAGAATGACAATGGATATGATGCCAGCTGCTTGAGCACCTTGTCCCTTTTTTCCCAGGTTTTTCTGACTTTCTGTGCTAGAACCATTGCTTTGCTTCTGCTGTGTGTCTAGAATAAAACAGAAAAAGGATATAGTAAGGTGTAATTTTTCACATTACATACCAGGCAAATATTTGACCCCATTTTATATGGACACAAAAATTTCTGAAGGACTAGTACCTGTGATTCTGGTGGTATTCCTTCTGAGCAAGGCACATCTTTAGCTTACACAGTCTAATAATACAATGCTAGTTTATTCCTCTCTGTCATCATACTGCATGCACCCCTCTTTCTTCCTTTTTGTTCTTTCCTGACAGCCTTGGCAGACTGTACATTTGAGCTTGTATTTAGGTTCAGCTGAAAACAGATCTATACAGAATCTAAAATTAAATCTAATGGTATTCAGAAAAGTGAGTGAAAACCTGTTTCCCTGAAGTTAGTGACAGATTCCCACTGATTGCTAAAAATTAACGGTTTCCAATCACATGTCTTACTCTTTCAAGTGTGGCAGTGCTTTTTAGAAGCCAACACAAAATAATGAAGGCTTTTTTTTCCCTCTAGAATAGAACATGACAGAATGCCAGTAGGAAACCAGTGACAAGGTTACTTAGTTTTCCTTTTATCTGGGATGGCAGCAAGGGTATGTTATCATAGAAACACTCTACTGTGCAACTTTTGCTTGTGCACACAGATTTTATTCCTGGAAATGGTTTATATCATTTGGCTACATTTGTGGCATCAGTGTCGTTAAGTCAAGAGTATGTGATTCCTTGTCATGTTCAGGTAAACTAACTGTGGGTGTCCAGCTACAGTTATGCAAACAATCAAACCTCCTTGCACCAGGGTGCAGAAACCTGCAAGAGAAAGGTATGGTGGGAGGCAGGACCAGGAACAGCATGGAGACTGAACAGCCAGCTCCAGATAAGCTCTCCCACTCCAGTTTCTCTACACAGCTACTTGGAAATCACAAAATCCATTATTGATACTATAGCTATAACTGGCTTTATAGTGTTTTTTTAAAATAGCTTTCTGGTTGTGAAACTCACTTTCCTGAGTGGCTGAATACTTGTTTTTACCATTGATCACTCATATTAGCAATAAATAGCATATTATACTTGTGCTATTAGGTGTATTGTTCTATTGGACAAACATTATGCATTTGCTACAGGCCTACTTTAAATAGTGTACTGTATTAAATTGGGTTTTGGAGGCTGAAAAGAGAACTTTGAAACTAGGCAGAGTAAAAAGCAAATGTCAGTGCTGCAAAGCAGTTGGGTAGGGGCTCAGGAATTGTGGATCTGCTGTATGGTGCCCCCTGAAAAATAACCTGACTCCCCAAGTCATGTTTCCAAGGAACCAAGGGCAAAGCTCGCTGACTGCCTCAGATACAAGAGCTCTTATTCGTGCCATTGTCGTAACACACTTGACAGGGTGTTCGCTTCAGTATGGAAGAAGTAAACATAAAGTCCATAGCTAAGCACAACTTGCTTGAAACAAAACCTGTGCTCTTCTCAGCACTTTTTGGGACTGCTGAATTAATGCATATCCCTCGTTAGTGCATACGTATAGAGACAGGCCGGTTGATATTCCTGCTATCTAGAAAACATGAAGTATCATCAAAGGACTTACAGTTGGCTGACATATTTTCCTGCAGTATTTTATTTTCTATGGAGCACTCTATTTGCATGTTAGAAGTGGCTTTAACCTTCAGCGTGCTAAAAACGCTGTAAGTGCCATCAGCATGGGAGGTGATCTTTATCTCTGATGGATGCAGGTGGCTGTTATCTGTTTTATTTATCCAATAAACGTTGGGCTCTGGGTATCCGTTGCCAGACTTGCAGCTGAAAGTCACCTCCTCTCCAGTGCTGTCACTGTTTCTTATGGGTCCACTGAGTATCGGTTGGCTGTAACTAGCTGGAGAACGAGAGAAAAAGAAATAGTCATTGCCATGTTGAAATGTACTGCAAAGACACAGTTTTTACGTGGGTTCTGAAGCAGAAGTTCTGGGTTTCGCACGACCCTCATGACTTGAAAGGGAAACACCTGCAGGTGTGCTGTGTAAGCCAGAGAGCCGAGAGAATTACTGGAAGGGCAGAAAGCTAAAGCCAAACCCAAAGGAAGAAAGCAACATCTTAACTTGCTATCATCCAGACACGTGTAAGAACCCTTATATTAACGAAAACTAAGTTGAAAAAAACCCATGCTGGATAAAGAGCTGTTACAGATATTCTTCCAGTTTCAGATTTCCCATCTGTAACACTTAAATTAAGCAGATGTAATTTCAGCATAGGGCTGAAGTACTTTTCAAAGTTAAGGTATGCTTAAATGTAATATTGAAATAGCACAAGCTTAAAAAGCTGGAATGAGAATTTGGGCAAATGTGTGCAAGCAATACAAGTCCTTACCTGCTAAACTGAGAACCACTTGTGCTTGGTGAATCATCCTGGTATATTCGGTTTTCTCCATTACTACGCATTTGTATGTACGTTCATCACTCTGGCTGACATTCAGCAGTAGCAGAGAAAAGTCACCATTTCCCAATCTATCCCAGAATAACTGAGTCCTGTTTTTAAAGTGAATACACTGTTCACTTTCGTTGTCTTGACCAGAGATCAGCGCATGTACAACTGAACACTCTTCTTGATCATCTACTATTTGCCAATATACCCGTAAATCTTTTAAGGGCGGTTTTCTTCCTTGATAAATGCAAGTCAGCGTAGCGTTGTCTCCGAGTTTACTGACTATAATCTTTTCCTCCAGTGCAATAACTACAAGATAAAAAGAGAAAGGGAAAAAAAGGAGGTTATGTGGAAAAAATGTCATTATTTTCAAGTATATTCAACTACATGTGGACTCTAGTATTAGTATATATAACAGGCAGATGAGTGTGCTCACTTCATAGTCATTCCTACCTCCTGAGCTGCCAGTGGCTAATTCTCTCTGTGTCTGTTTGTACATTTTCCAAAGGGACCTTTTAAAATATAAAGTCTTCTGCTTATTTCTTTCTCTGAGGACTGACCAGTCTAAGCATTCCCAGCCCCAGGGACACCTGCCTGTTTCACTTTACCCACCGATTGGGACTGACTTCAGATACATATTCAAATCCTAATCCTTTAATAACTGTGCTTTTTCAATTAAGAAAAATACCAAATAACACCAGGTAAATCACAAGAAGTGGAAACACTGATAAGAAAAAGAATGCTACCATTATTTTGAGACCCCCAAAAATTAAAAAGGGGGAGTAAATGCAATATTTCTCAAAGTGGGCATGTCATAGCAACCACGTTTTATTACTACCTTCGGTGTCACCCTCTTGACAAATACACCCAGCTAGCAAACCAGCATGCACAGATGCCTCCAGTGACACGTTCATTAGACTTTTACAACTCTTCACGGCCACTTGAGGTAGTCCAGCACAGTATCTGGCTTTCAGGGCACTTTTCCTGGCCTCCAGACACGAGAAAGGCAGCCTCTCCTCCTGGTGAGCAATGAGAAGGCGTGAGCTGGCTGATGAGCAATGCAGAAGGTGCAGGTCAGCTCCTTGGAAAGGGCCAGGATGGCTCTGGCTGCAGCCTTCTTGCTGGGAGGGATGCAGCACCTCTCCTCCACCACTGCAGCCAAACGCCTCCTGGTGCTGCAACTGGCTGCTGATACCACAGCAGTGTGCACATTGTAGATGTTGGACTGGAGGGTGAGGGAAGACATGGATGGGAGAGATTACAGCTGGGGGAAGGGATTATGTGGGTGGGTGAATCAGGGAAAGAAAGATGCCGGGAGTGAGGCTTGGAAATATAGAAACCAGAGCATGGCGAGGTGTCAGTGTTTTAGGTAAAGGGGGATATGTCTTTGTGCTGGTGCACTAGACCAGCTTGGAAATAGCTCATCTACATGTCTGAGTTGGGCTCCCTGGCTTAAAAACACTGCTGAAGGGACCACAATACTTGCAGGGAGGAAGGCAGTATGCTCTCCAGGTCCTTATCCTCTGCCGGGTGAGACAGGAAGTAACGAGCTTGAATTGCACCAAGGATGCTGCAGCTCAGACTTTGGGAAATCCTTTGTAGCAGCAGGGAGGTGATGCTCTGGAAAGCATTGCCTAGGAAGGTGGGGGCATCTCCACCGCTGGCATTATTTGGGAACAGGTCAGCTGGCATCTACTGAAACTGAATCTGGTAGTTTGTCCTGATTTTGGGACCAGGGACCTTCCCTGATGACTTTGTTGAAGTCCTTCTCCGTGATTAAGCAAGAACAGAGGAGAAACAACTCTGAAAACACTTAAATATCACCAAGTGATGTCCTTTAACCTTACCTTTGTTTTGAAAGGTATTTTTGGAATTGTAGTAAAAGACTTACTAATATTGGGTATTTGATACAGTGATGTATATAATTCTAGTGATAATATGAGTATGGACGTTATCCAGACATGTACTGAAACTGATAGAAATTGATTTTTTTCCTTCTTTCCTGGATGCACGTCACACTAAGGAATACCTAAATATCTTGCAGAAAACACACAGAGGTTTATATCTTGTGTATTACAAATGCTATGTGTACTTGGCCAAACACATTAAGGGGAGAGAGATTCATTTTTGACTGAAGTGCTCTGAACTTACCAGTCCTGAGGATATGAAGAAGCAGTAACAGAAATCCATACCTAAAATTAAAAAGCAAACAGGAGTGTTACATGATAAATAATGGTAATGCTGAAGTCTACATAAGCAATAAACCTAATATCGATTGTTTCAGTGTAGTAGCAGAAGTAGGTAAATTAGGTACTGCTACTATGTAAAGTCCCATTAAGTATTTGCATCTTTGACAGCTGCAAAACCGCTGTTCAAACGACCTAACTCTGTGGGTGGGTGCCCAAGGCTGTGAATAGCAGTAAAACGGGCTAATATTGGAATCAGAGCAGAATGCATGAAGCTGGTGTTGTGCCTTTCTTGTGAAAAACCAAATCATATAGAATTACTGGACAATTAGGCCTTGGAGAATCTCTGTAACACTGGGGAGGAGTGTGGCTACACAGGCCTAAATCTCAGTCAAAGCCCTGTATCCTACTGTTTTGCTGAAACTCAGAGAGTTCACAGTTTTATGTGGTTAAAGGACTACAAGCAGCTGACCATGCTGCCCACCGTTTTGTGCACTCAGTAAAAATGTGTAAACAGGAAGCGTGCTGATAGCAGGGAGCTGTGCAAAGGTTTTGCTGGAAAGAATTTGGTGTGCTTGATTACTCTGGAGGGGCAAATCTGTGCAGGAGTTTCCCAAGGGAGTTACACCTGCTGGATGCTATAGCTTAAACTGGGTTTTCCTATCTACAAAGCCCAGGTGATTTAACTCTCATCCCATAGGGCTGTAAGAAAGATAAATATGCAGCATAAGAGTTACTTTAAAATAGCCTTTCACCACCATGCCTAGGTATATGTTGTGCTCTCCCTGCTCCAGACTGTGGTAGGAAAGGAAGTGAAGACACTGGAAAGGTTTTGGAACGGGAGCTGTTGCCCACCTTGATATTGCCCAGGTGCAGTAAAGTTGCAAATCTGAGCCCATGAGCAGAGGGACACAAGCACCTGCTCATCCCCAGATTCCCCAGCTCACTTCTGCAAGCAAGCTGGACTGTAAGGCCACACTACCTGGGTGCAGCTGGTTCCCCTCCCCAGTTGTTCTCAACCTTCATCCACGTCCAACACTGAGCCAAGGGCTGGGGCAGTGGGGAGAGCTCCCCCCAGCAGACCACGTCCACCCAGACTGCTTGCCTTGTTCCCTCCAAACCAACCCTGTTCTTCCTGACCTCTCCTCCCTCCAAGCCCTAACCTAAGCTCACTCCCCCAGCAGCCCTTTCTCATCTTGTTTTTCCCCATCAGTTGTGCTTTACAATGTTCCCACTCTCTTCCAGGCTTCCTGCCCTTTCCCCACAGCTCCTGTTCCTTTGTCCAGCAGAGCATCAGGATCCTCCCCCCCACCTCCCAGGCATGGCACCGCTTCTGCCCAGCTTTACTTCTACCAGCTGCCTGGGCACTACTTGGTTGTCCTCCGCTGTGGAGGAGGGTCTCTAATTCCTACCTTCCCCCAAAGAAAATTATGATCTTCCCAAGCATATTTGGCTTCTTATGGAGAAAATAGAGGACATTCCCAGCACAAAAATCTATCTCCACTTGAAGCCCCATCCCCAGAGAACAAGATGGGGAAAGTTCAGGGAAGAGCCAGTCTGAATCCTATTACTTTTATATGAAGAAAACACTTTGTGTCCTTTGAAAAGGTTTCATAGATGTAGTTTTAATAGTTTAAATGGATGCCCAGTGTGCAAGGTTTCTGCTTTAATAATTATTTATTAAATTTGCAATCAGCTCTAAAGTAAGTTTCCCAAGTAAGTGTACCTAAACACTCCAGGCAGGTGGCTCTGCTCTGTTCTGCCCCTGGCAGTGACTTTTGGTGGCTTTTGCACATGGTCTTGTATTGTATTCCTCTTGTATTTTTATACTGTGTGGGAGCCATCGCTTTTGTGCCAGGCTTGTAGAGGTCTGTCTTGACAAGTTCACCTTAATGTAGTTCTTAATCGTTCTTAATCCTGTGGCTGTGTTCATTTTCTTGTTCCCTGCCCAAGATAGAAACTATGGATACAGCAAGTCATTAGAACTGAATGGAGAACAACTGACTGATCCTTATGGGGGACTCTTCAGGGAATTTCCCATGGTAGGTATTTGCTGATGCCAACAAACACTTAGATAGTCAGCCAGCACTGATTCGCTAATGCATTGTATACAAAGGAGGTCTTGGTTTCTTATTTCAATACACGGTGTCACAGTCAAGGTTGGACAGATCTACAGATGCTCATCCTCTTATTTGGAGGAGGTTGCAGCTGTGGTAATGTGAGGGCAGCGTCAATCCACCATGTTCCCCCAGAATAGCTTTAATGCCAAGCTCTTGTTGGAAAAAGGGAGAAATGCTCTTGCCTGCAGAGAAACCTCCCTTTTGCCCCATATGTACGCTCAGCTCCTGTGTCCATCACACTGGCAGTGAGCTCCACCATGCGCAGGTGTACCTGCATTAGTTTCTTATGTTCATTCTCTCTCCTTTATTTATTTTTAATATTTTTTTCAATTCTTTCCCACACCTTCCTCTTCTATACGTTTTTTCAAATGTCCTGTGAAACGGGAGAAAGTTGCACTTCCTCTTTCATACAGTCTTGTTTGATAAGATTATTCTTCCTACCGGCATCTCAACTTTTTCACACACCGTTTATTTTGGAGCCATGGGATGTTGCTGTCCTGGCACACACCAGTCTGACAAAAAGCATCACGATGCTTGCAATAGGAACGCCGGGGCTTTGGCCCCGCTGCTGAGATTTGCTGTATCCCCTAACCCTGTAGCGACATCGCTCTTCGCGCATCAGCAGGTGCCCTAGGCGGGTTATTCGCGAAGCTTTTCTTAACGCCCGCCCTAAAGCAACGCTCACCTGGGCGATAGAAACCTGCCTGCCTTCTCCCATCCCTCGCGGCCGGGACAAAAGGCTCCTTAAAACGCCTCTGCGCTGCCTGCAGCCTTTGAAGGGGGGACAGATCCCGGAATTGGGGCAGGTGGGACCTCTGGGTGTGCTGCCCCGGGTGCGCCCGGCCGCGGAGCTGCCTTGCG